AAAGTGAGAGAGACAGAGAGAGAGAGAAATAGAGAGAAAGTGAGAGAGAGAGAGAGAGAGAGAGAGAGAGAGAGAGAGACAGAGAGAGACAGAGAGAGAGACAGAGAGAGAAAGTGAGAGAGACAGAGAGAGAGAGAGAGAGAGAAAGTGAGAGAGACAGAGAGAGAGAGAGAGAAAGTGAGAGAGACAGAGAGAGAGAGAAATAGAGAGAAAGTGAGAGAGAGAGAGAGAGAGAGAGAGAGAGAGAGAGAGACAGAGAGAGAGAGAGAGAAAGAGAGAGAGAGAGAGAGAGAGAGAGAGAGAGAGAGAGAGAGAGAGAGAAAGTGAGACAGAGAGAGAGAGAGAGAGAGAGAGTGAGAGAACGTTAATGATGCGGAGCCGTTTAAACATGTGATAATAATGTCATAGTTATGTTCTCCTTTGTTGTGTGCGTGGGGGAGGGCAGTATAAGGCCTTTGTAACACCGGGTGAGTGCAGAATAGGACCTTTGTAACACCGGGTGAGTGCAGAATAGGACCTTTGTAACACCGGGTGAGTGCAAATAGGACCTTTGTAACACCGGGTGAGTGCAAATAGGACCTTTGTAACACCGGGTGAGTGCAGAATAGGACCTTTGTAACACCGGGTGAGTGCAGAATAGGACCTTTGTAACACCGGGTGAGTGCAGAATAGGACCTTTGTAACACCGGGTGAGTGCAGAATAGGACCTTTGTAACACCGGGTGAGTGCAGAATAGGACCTTTGTAACACCGGGTGAGTGCAAATAGGACCTTTGTAACACCGGGTGAGTGCAGAATAGGACCTTTGTAACACCGGGTGAGTGCAGAATAGGACCTTTGTAACACCGGGTGAGTGCAAATAGGACCTTTGTAACACCGGGTGAGTGCAAATAGGACCTTTGTAACACCGGGTGAGTGCAGAATAGGACCTTTGTAACACCGGGTGAGTGCAGAATAGGACCTTTGTAACACCGGGTGAGTGCAGAATAGGACCTTTGTAACACCGGGTGAGTGCAGAATAGGACCTTTGTAACACCGGGTGAGTGCAGAATAGGACCTTTGTAACACCGGGTGAGTGCAGAATAGGACCTTTGTAACACCGGGTGAGTGCAGAATAGGACCTTTGTAACACCGGGTGAGTGCAGAATAGGACCTTTGTAACACCGGGTGAGTGCAGAATAGGACCTTTGTAACACCAGGTGAGTGCAGAATAGGACCTTTGTAACACCGGGTGAGTGCAGAATAGGACCTTTGTAACACCGGGTGAGTGCAGAATAGGACCTTTGTAACACCGTTGCCAATGGCGTGACCAGAAGTCCGTACATACTGCATGTAAAGCCAGCTGAGACTCTTCTTACAAGGAGCAAAACAAACAACAGACAAATCAAGTTCTTACTGCGCTAAAGCCTTGGTGCTGGTTGGCATGATGTCCAGGGTAACTTTTCCTCCCCCGCCCCCTCCTTCTGGGGTGTCTAAGAAAGCAAACTCTTCCAGAATATCCACCTCTGGTGGCGATGTTAAGGAACCACAGGAAAGTCATTTGGAAAAATCCATAGTAGTGATACATGATCGAAAAGCAGTGATATCCCTAAGTTGTCTAAAAGAAGTTCGTCATACGACTTCCTTAGTGACACACATCAGTCATTGAACTTTTGTTTTGTTTTAGTAGAGGTTTTACGATGCTCGCAACTGCATAAGGTCATATGAGTGCCAGAGGATTAGAGGTGTTACAAGAAAGTAACAAACATAAAAAAGAAGAAGGGGAGATAAGGACGATAGATGTATGATAGGAAAGAAAAAGCAAACCACACGAGAGCTCCCACCAACCACCCACACATCAGTCATTGAACTTTGAGCAGCACAGTTCCAATAATTACAAACAGAACAGAGAAATCCTTATGGCTTAAATTTTCCAAAAGTATTGTCTTATGCCGTTCCATATTACATCAAGTGTATTTGTACCAACTAGAGATTTTAGATGCCCTGCTTTTGGAAGGGGACTGCTGCTTTGGTTTTAGCAAGAGTTTTTAGCTTTAGTAAGAGTTTTATGGCACATGCAACACAATAAGGTCATATAAGTGCCGAAGATGAGAGGTGTTACAAGAGAGTAACAAACACAAAATAGAAGAAGAGGAGATAAGAATGATCGACATTTCATAGGAAAGAAGAAGCCAACCACACCAGTGCACCCGCCAACCACCAACAGATTTTGGCTAGAGGTGTCAGCTCAGATGTAGAGTGTGACGACAAAGAGACACAACAGGATCAATCTTTTCATGACTGGTGTATTCACCAGAGGACACAAGCCGTTTCAAAGGATACCGTGTACGTAGGAAAAGAACGTATTGTACGTGAAGCTGCCTTGCTTCTGGATGACGGAGATGACCTCGCTGAACAAAGCTTCCTGTTTGGGCCAGTCATACTGCACGAGGATAATGAGGTGAGCAAGACACGTGTCTGTTCTCTGGGATGACAACATTTTCTCCTGAGGACAAAAAAGAAACACAGATGATACTTCCTGAGTGTACTTTGCTCACCTATTGTTAACCCAAATAAGCACTCACTACTAAAAAAAATTTATAATAATAATGATAATAATAATAAAAACAACAATATCATCAATAATAATAACAATAATACTTATAATAATAATGCAAATTTATTTCTATAGCACTCACACCCGAACAATACTGCTTTAAGCGCTTTACAATGCCTTAATCTTAACACAAAATACATATAAATGCATGCATTAACATTAACATTTAAGCGGACATTCGTACTATTTTTTTTTGTAGAGGTTTTACAGCGTTTGCAACTGCCTAAGGTCATATGAGTGTCAGAAAATTAGTAGAGGTGTTACAAGAGTGCAACACACATAAAAAAGAAGAAGGGGAGATAGGACGACAGGTGTTTGATTAGGAAAGAAGGTGCAAACACACCAGAGCACCCGCCAACCGCCCACAGACATTCATACCATCACAGCACAAACAATGAAGATATGCACACCACATTATGAACATAAGAGTACTAGAAATGGTCGCTTTTAAGTTCAAGGGGGCTATCCTGATAAATGCTGTTTTGAGAAAATCGAAGGTAAAGCTTTTGGACCCATGTTCAGTTTCTTTAAAAGACAAGGAGAGTTTTCTGTATAACCATACAAATATACACACCAATGAAATCTCAAACTTCTCCTATCGGTAGAGGAATGCCCACTTCTGGTGTAGGTCAATATTTCTGGAAATCCCTGAAATCTGGGTAAGCCCCCTTGTCCTTAAAAGCGACCAAATAAGGACTTACTATCAAGATGGCATCAAAGTGATCAAATTTGCAAAATCTTATCTACATTTTCAATTGAAATCGGCCAATAAACTGCGAGCAAGCTAAAACCTTCACATTATGTTCGGAATGAAACAAAGTACAACACAAGTTCTAACACAAACAAGCCTGTAACATTTTAAGTGGTAGACGAAGAGAAAAAAAATTACAAAATCTAAAGCTGCTTGAAGCAGCAATAGAAGGATTCACATCAGAGACCACATCATATACGGTCGCTTTTAAGGACAAGCGGGCTAACCCAGATTTTGGGGGTTTCCATAAATCTTGACCTACACCAAAAGCGGGCATTGCCTACCTATAGGAGAAGTTTGGTTTCATTGGTGTGTATATTTGTTTAGTTATGCAGTTGCGAGCACCATAAAACTCTTACGAAACTAAACAGACCACATCTAAAATTCCCACACACCTTCAAGCCAGTGATAAGCAGCTGTAGACAGAAGGGCAAGACCTCCACGTCTGTACAGGGCAACATGACCAGCACACGTGCGTTGGCTGAGGGTTTCTCCTCCACGCACTCCTCCATGCTGAAAGCCGGTGCCGACGCCCCCTGGGATGGAATACTCTCGATGATGCCCATGACGGTCTCACTCGCTTCCTGGACGTGAACAGATACAATTGCAATGCAATAGACTAGACAAAACAAAACAGGAATTATGGATTCTGGTAATGCCTTAAAAGTAAAAGCTTCCGGGAAACTATTATAGATGGGGAACACTCCTAAATTTGTAAGAAAACTACGTCATGTTTAATTTTCGTACTCTTTATTGAGGTGAATTATTTTTAACCCGCTTTTGAACGTAGATAAACAGACAGATCTATAATGTATACACATACACAGAAAATTATTTTACACGATATTCAACAAATGTATTTGCGCTAAAGCACCATTCAAACCGCCGTGTGAGAGGAATGGGAGGACAAAGCAGCAGTGACAGGAAATTTGGTTCTCAAACTATTTAGTTTAGTTTTAGTTAGAGTTTTACGATAAGGTCATATAAGTGAAAAAGATTAGAAGTGTTACAAGAGAGTAACAAACAAACAGAAGGAGGAGAGATCAGGACGATAGAAGTTTGATAGGAAAGAAGAAGCAAACCACACCACAGCACCTGCTAACAACCCACTTCTCAAACTATGACACAGGAAAAACTTACAGTATACTTTTTCATACAAAAGTAGCAACAAGCCAGCTGAAGTAAAACTCGGGTCTGAAAATGGGAAAAAAAATAGAAACCATAAAATTACTGAGACAAAAAGTTTCTTTGGTCCGTCAGTTTCAGTTATAAGATCATTGCGGAATAAATTTGGTCTTTTAAGATTTACACGGAGTCAAGTGTATAAGGAAAAGTAACCAAGCATTAAAAAGAGACAAAATGTACATTCTGCATAGACGTATCCCTTTTCTAATTTGTGACCTCGATGGAAACTTTAAAAATGTGGCAACTATAAAATTTAAAGATCATAGTTCACTGTAATTCACTTTATTTAATGATTAATAAACTGACTGAAACAGCAATAATAATAATAATAATAATAATAATAATAATAATAATAAATTGCATTTATTTAGCAAATTTTCACAAAGAAGTGCTCAATGCGCTGTACAATAATACAAAGAACATCTCTCTCTCTCTCTCTCTCCCTCTCTCTCTTTCTAGTACATCCTTGGGTAAAGACAAACCCGCAAAACTTACCCAGACACCCTCGTACATATTGATGACATCACACAGTCATAAATTGTTACAGAACAGAACAGCATAATAATATTTTATTGGGAATGTTGGAAATTACAGACATTATTAAAAGCGTCCGAGTATTTCCCTGTAGTTCATGGTCTTCCATACCTTGAGCCTGCCTTGAGCAGAATGGCAAAGACTTTGTAACTGCCCAATGGCCTCTTCATAATTTGCCTGTGTAAAAAAACACCCAACAACAAGAAAAGGATTATGATTCAATTTATCATGCCTCCAAAGAGATACAGTCGAAACTGACTAAGACGGCCATCCATTGCCGAGGAGAAATGAGGCCATCTTACGCAGTGTCATTGTTATGTAAAAAATTTGCAAAAGAAGAAATGGGAAGTGGCCATTTCTACAGGTGATTGTCTTAATCAAGTAGATATAAAAGCAGGTTCGACTGTGTGTACCAGCTTTAAATTAATCCTAGCCGTACGTCGTGTTTTACTATCGTATCCATACGACGTGGGGAACTCTGTGCAGAAGATAAAGCATTTTTTCAGTGTTGTTCTTGCTTTCACTGTGATCGGTATTTCATTTTGAGCAATGTTGGGAAACAAAAGACCTAACTGTTATACAAAGATGAATAGTTTAACCTGGTATGGACCTGCTTATCTTGACAACCGTCAATGACAATTTAGCCTTCTAAGTGTCATGAGAATGACATCAGTTTTTTTTTTCACAGGATGGAGAACAGTGTTTTAAACGTCACTTGATGCTTACCTGGTATATGTACATGTCAGTCTGAAAATAGCTCATCATACTTTGAGTCTCTTTCCTCCATTTTTGACACAAGTTAAAAAATTCTGGGGAAATAAAAAATAAGAGTATTGTAAATTTTATTTCAAACAGGAAACAGATGTTAAGTCACCTTCGAAACATATATAAAATGAAGACGGTGTGCGTTCTGAATAGCATTTTGTGAAGTAAGTTATACAAAACCAAATGAAAAACATTTTACTATGACTGAATGAAAACAAAACTTGAACAAAAGTTTGCAAATATTTAGAGAGTATACTCACACAGTTGAAGAAAGTCAAAAGGTGCATATCAATGTAAAAATTACTTTAAGTTTTTTACTAAATAAAAAACAACCACCTCACTTCCAGCTGTCACTGCCTTAAAAAAAAACAACACATTGAAATAATAAAGAACAACAAATACATTCCAGTCGACTGTAAAACATACCAAATTTCATTTCTTCTGAAGAATTGAGTAGCTCAAAGCACTTGATCCCCATTTCAAAGAGTTGAAAGATAACAGGAAAGGCTGTCACTGCTGGAGACGGGTTGATCACGGGAGTCTGGCCACTGTCAACTTTGGCTTTCTTGGCCCGAGATCTGACGCAGTGAGAGAGGAAGAAAAAGACGGCACAAGTGGGTTAAATAAAGGGAAAAAGAAGATCGAACTGAAAAGCACAAGGAAATCCATATAACACAAATAAAATATATATAAAAATATTTATGTCAAAAAAACATTTAACGAAAGCCAAAGACATCACTTTACAATATGCCAAATATATATTACCCTTCTTTTTGAATGCACTAAAATCAAAAAGGCTATTCTTACAAAAAAATACACTATAATGATTTGAAGTGTGGTATATTTCTGAAACTCTCTACACAATTAAGTATTATTTTGAAACAAAAGATGTTTATCTTCTCCATTTTAACCCCCAAACATTCGTTTTCTTTGCCACATAGAAATGCATAGAGGTGCCGAGTTGTACAAAGAGAGGATTTTAATGGAGCATCTTTTTGTAGCATGAGTGAAGCCGAGAACACTACCTGAGACATAATAATACAAAGATCTACAAAATTTGTTTACATAGCAAAGGGCATCTGAAAAGGTATTCTGTGAGCAAAGCTTAAAGAGAAGAACAATGACATGGTCATGTTCCTCAAGTGTGGACAAAATGCATTACAGCAAGAAACATAAAAGAAAGAAAGAAAGAAAAGAAGTTGGACCTACCACAGGTGCAAATGGTAGGGGTTTAACGCCTCTCTCAACATTATTAGGTTATTTAAGAGGCGGAACTTCCGAGTTTAACGTCTAGCTCTGAAAGGACTGAGCCAAATGGGAATTTCATGTAAAGTGCCTTTCCCAAGGACACAACGTCCGACCAAGCTGACACTCAAACCCCCAAGTCCGCAACCTCACCATTACGAGTCTGGTAGCCTAACCACTAGGTCACCGACGCTACTTACCACGGGTACCTTCTAACCTTACTACGCACTGGCTCAGTGATTTAACCCTATCTGTACGCCCTGGGGTCATTCTGTACCCCCGGAGTTGTACTTTCACATTTTAGAATACTTCTAGAGCGAATATCTCTGAAACTTTTCAGTATTTCTAAAAAAATCATTTTGACAGACTGCTATGCAAAGCGTACGGATCGGAATAACGAGTAAATTTCCTCTTCGGAAAGTGGTGGCACAGAGTTCCACACGTCATACGGATACGATAGTAAAACACGATGTACGGATAGGGTTAACCAGCAAAACTTCTCCAAGGCAGACCGTGACAATAATGTGTAAACAACAAACACAATTCTAGATGTTAAAAATGATTCACAAAAACCACCTCATCAAAATCCTACACTTACGGAGCTGATGTCTCTGACTTGAAAGTCGTTAAACTTTCTAATAAGATGATGGGTACAAGGTGACTTGAACCAACTGCAAATAAACAAAGGTATAGAAAGTAAGATAACAAGGGATAAAATAGACAGTGAACTCTTTCTCTCTCTCTCTCTCCTTGTCATTATGGAAACACATATTTAAAATAACCTTCTGAGACTAAAGATAAGCGACAAAAATTAATTTGTTTTCAAAATGTAACTCATTTTATGCCCCCATTAACACCATTTAGATCATTTAGGAGGAGGGCTGAGAGGTATACATCGTCCCAGCAGAAAGACGACACATTTGATAAAAATTTCTTCGACCTAAGGTCTCCTGCACGTGACAGAAAAGCACTTAACCATTACACCAGATGCCAGAAAAGAGAGGTGATTTCGTTAAGTTTTAGTAGAGGTTTTCCGGCGCCTGCAACAGCATAAGGTCATACGAGCGCCAGAAGATTAAAGGTGTCACAACAGAGTAACAAACTTAAAAAAGAAGACATAAAAAAGAAGAAGGGAAGAAGAGCACGATAAGACGTTTGATAGGAAAGAAGAAGCAAACAACACCAGAGCACCCGCCAACCACCCACAGAGTAACATTCAACATGCCAAATATGACATACACCATAATGAGATTAATCTGTCATGAATAAAGACTCGCAAGTCATTGTTCCTAAAGATTCAGCATGACAAAGAATCCTTTTCATTCGGAAACACCAAAAACATTGAAAAGTTGAATTGGTAACATTGAAATGAAGTTAAAAAATAACATTGAATTGAAATGAAGTGAAAAGTATTTGAACAAGTAGTACTTGAAAAGGAGTTGAAACTAGCAACACTGAAAAGACAATGGAGAAAAATAAACAACAACACACACCAGAGCGCCCACCAACCACCCAGTGACAGCACAGAAGACAAACCTGCGGTGGAGGATTCGGTGTCGACGTATCCCACGTAGTTGACCAGCGCGTACACAAACAGAACCATGGCCGTGTGCAGGACCTGCTTGCTGTTGGACTCGAGGATCGCAGCTCCCGTCCTTATCAGCTGATGTTGTAGAGACTGTATTTGGTACTGTCTGTTGAGATAAGAAAATCATAGATGTTTACCCTCTTTTTTCAACTGATTTTTAGCTACTACTTCTACTTTGGGGTGTTAGTGCGCTCGTCTCCGAAGCGGGAAAGTCCGGGTTCAAGCCTCAGTTCGGACACAGATTTTTTTCTCCTCCTACTGCCCATCCAGCAGTAATGGGTACCTGACTTTGAGTTGGGGAAGTAAAGGCGGCCTGGAAAGGAACTGGCTACCCTACCACAATATACAGAAGGCCCAGGAAGTTGTCTCACTGACAAGACAATCCCCAATGTCCGGATCGGATGCCGGAACAACTTTACTTTTTTACTTCTACTTTGACTCACTTATGTGCCTTGACTAGAGTACAGAACCATTATAGTCAACTCAGTTTGCCCCTGTTTTACAGGGTGAACAGAAACATCTGAGTAACTCATTTTTCTGGTGACTGTGTCGTTATGTATTTATACATGTCTAAAAAATAGGACAGGTCGAGAGAGTGTTTGTACAGCAGAAACCATAAGCACATTTCCAACTTTCAAAAACTGACCATGTCGGTGGCCTAGTGGTTAGGCTCTCGGACTCGCAACCGTAAGGTCGTGGGTTCGAATCCCGTCAGGGGCCCGACGTTGTGTCCTTGGGAAAGGCACTTTACACGAATTTTCCTCACTTCACCCAGGTGGGAATGGGTACCCGGCTATAGACAGCGAAAGATCTTGTCAGTTTGTTAGTGTTTGAGCGCTTAATCGGCTGCTCGCACTGTATGCTTCCCGGGAAGCTGAGAATGTTTCGGAGTGTTCTATGGTCTGCTGGGGTAATAATATAGTGTAAAGCGCATAGAGCCAACTGTTGAGTGGGGATATGCGCTATAAAAATGCTATCTATTATTATTATTATATAACATGAAACTGTCTTGACATGGACCACGCCTGCCAGCTACAACCTTCCGAACTGAAAAAACATTTCTCACACATTACATGTGTTACGACACAGTGGAATCAGGCGCTCGTCAATTTTTGGCCATAGGGAGTTATTGGTATAACTTTAAGGCTTGTTTGTCTTGCTTTTGATGAAAAATAAAAATACCCATGTATCTTTAATACAGGTTTAGGATAATTGCTATTAAATGAGGTGCGGGTCGCCTTGTGTCAGAGGTAAAATTAACTAGAAAAAGGCCACTAAATTCCGGTGAGTGTCCTTGGAAATTGAAAGTTTACATTTTTTGTTCCTTTTATCAACATTTTTCAGTAAATTCCACATAGAAATGTGTTTTCAAATGGACGTAAAAGGTGCTGAGCCAAAAAAGACATGTTCGGTAAAAATTGCTCAACAGCTGAAACAACATGATCTCGTCACTTAATTTCATCACGATGCCTCACATATGGAGATATTCAATCTACCCTGAAAAATAAACAACACTGACTGTGATAGTCTTTATAAAAAAGAAGCCGAGCGTTTGTAAGACTATAGGCCCTACTCCAACACATAAATTTAAGCAAACACCATAATCAGCTGTAGTCGAAAAAAAAATTTTTAAGAGGAGGTCAGAATATCATAAACAGAGTAGACAATATTGATGCAGGGAGGAAATCTAGATTTTGCTAAACAGCTGAGGAACATATGGTTGCTTTTAAGGACAAGCGGACTAACCCAGGTTTCGGGGGTTTCCAGAAATCTTGACCTACATCAAAAATGGGCATTGCCCTACCTATAGGAGAAGTTTGGTTTCATTGGGGCGTATATTTGTGAAGCGTCCTGACAAAATGAGTTACTTCTCGGATTTGAGCCCTATGGAAATAGATACATCATGCTTACAGGTGAAGTTTTTACAATTTATAAATATGAAATATGAAAGGCATGTTATATGTAAAGAATATAGCATCAATAGAAAAGCAAAAAAATTGATCATAATGTCGATTTTTAGCCAATATCTCCATATGTAGATTGCGAGAAGTAACTCATTTTGTCAGCACGCCTCAAACTTGTTTTGTTATAGAGAAAACTCTCCTTGTCTTTTCTAGAAACTGAACAAGGGGCAAAACCTTTGCCTTTGATTTTTTCAAAACAGCATTTTCCTAGATAGCCCCCTTGTGCTTAAAAGCGACCATATATCCAAAGTCCCAGATTTTGACCCCACTAACTTTGACTTCATGACCAGGTTCCGCTCCATGTCCCAGTTCAAGCGCTGGCCAATGAGAAGAAGCAATTTGAGGAGACTTCCCCATGGGTCGGGAACTTGCATGTCTGATTCAGGCAATCCGGATATTCCACGTGGCTTAGGAGCTCCTTTGTTAGCATCTGATTTCCATATAATAAAAACGAAAAAAACCCAGACATGAATTAAAAGATAAAAGAAAACATTCTCATCAATCAATTTAGAAATTTGGATCTCAAAAATGTACAAATAAATAATCGTTCTAATCAAACTATATTCAAACAACATCAGTACTTATTATGGCAATATACACACTCAATGTAACGATATCTGTATTTTCAGCCACTTAACAGAATATACTTCAGTTATCAGCAAAATAACACTGACACAGTTGTGTTTCTAACTGAAGACAATAACAGGAGTTTTGTGCTCAGAGGTTATGGTCCCTCACCGCTGCCCTACAAGCCAGAAGGCACATCAGACGAGTAATCTTGCATTACACAAAACAGAATGTCGACAATGCACATCACTTTCCCTAAATAGGGTTATTATGATGAAAGAGGTGAGTTGTGGAGAGCCAGTCAGTACTATAAGATTCACACATGTCACTAAAAACATACTGAGATGCTATGTCGTTGTCGCGAGAAAAAAGAGGAACTCCCATTTGACCTTGCTTTTCAAGGAGAGTGAAAAGCGTAAGAAAAACATATCTTCCTTGAGACGACGACAAATGGCTGAACACTGGACAGAATCTGAAGGAGCACCAGAGTGCTTATAGCACTGGTAAGACCAGTATCTCTTCTTCTTTTTATGCAAGTGTTTCTACATTCGATCGGTACAGTTTAGATCATGTAGGAGGTCAATTTCCTCCCCTGACTGTTATGACAACAGAATGTGGTAGGAGTAAAACCAGTGGTACTTCCTCTACATACAGAACAAGTAATCTAAAGAGAGACAATTTCATTTGGTAATTTAACTCTTTAAACCCCATCAGATGCTGGGAGCATCCGGCAGAAATAACCCTGTTCCCCATCGGACGCTGGGAGAGTCAGAAACTAGTGACAACATTTTCGTTTGATTTAGAGCTAGTTTTTGCTTGTTTTTTGGAACAATTCCCAAATCAAGTCTTTTAGTAATGACTAAGCATTTGTTTCCGCCATTTACAAGTTGGAGGCAAGCTTTTGGGGTTATAATGAGACATAGTGCACCAGGTTTAGGTGACAGTAGAAAAAACTCTGGGAAACGGTGGAAAAAACTCAGAGTTTAAAGAGTTAAAAAAACAACAACAATCAAACTTGCCGTTTTATTCTTTACCTGTTTCTCCCGATGAGTCCGTGCTTGGGTTTGGCTGAGAGACGTAGCTGACGTAGAACTCAATGGCTCTTTGTAACCAAATGTACAGATGAAACATGTTTACCTCAAGATGACCACTCTTCTGCAAAACCAGTGGCATGACATCGCACACTGAAAAAGAAAGAGGCTGGCTGAAGACATCACACCCCTAAAGCATCAGCTTAAGTTCCTAAAGAATGCCTTTTAATTTAAATACATTTTTGGGCACATTAGCTGTGCAGTCCTAATGCTGTTAAAAGTTAGTTCCTCTTCCTTAGACAGCATAAACAAAACACAAGACTTCAGGTTATCTATCATTTCAGTAACAGCAAAACAGGATCTATTTCCTCCCCCTCAAAAAATTATTTTAAAAAAAAATTAAATATTCAATTTTAAATCCAAAGATTTAAGCATTAAAAAATTGCAGACACTGCCACTCAATATTACAAGGCAAGACCAAAAGATCACAACACCCAATAAAAAACTTAATTACTCAAAACAAATGAGCTGTTATATGATTAAATCACTGTGTAAACCCCCCCCCTCCCACACACACAAATACATCAGGCCAGACAAGTAAAATTAATTACCCAGTAATTTCCTGTAGCAGTTGACTGGATTGCTCACTATGCCCGAGTTGGTCTCCTCTGTCACTAACATCTCCACCAGCTTCAACTGTGAGTTTACAAAGTTGTTCATCAACACACGATCACAAAAGACAAATCAAAATGAAAAAAAAAAGAAAGAAAAAAACAGTCAAAGACCTAGGTATGGTATCAAAATAATCAAAATAAAGTACAAAACAGTTATTGTTCCAGAAAAAAAAATGTAACAAAAATAATCATGTGACAAAAGAGTTAGAAGAGGGCAAAAACAAAAAGGCAAAATCAGCGTTCTGTTCCATCTGTCCACACTAATTGAGATTTCAAAGTATGAACAAGCGATCCAGGTCTTAATCGGTTGAAATAAGGAACAGACACCACGAAAACTGAAGTTTCTATTGATTTTTCAAATAACCTAAAAAGAAAAACTTTGAGAGGCTCTAAGAAAACTAGTCAGAATATGACAATTTCAAAACTGATATTTTTACATTTTGCACTTATTTGAGCGTAATTCGGTCTTTACACAAAAAGTTAAGGCACTTCAAAGAACAAGGGGTCTGAAGGATAAGTTTTCAAAAAACACTTTAAAAATTGTACAAGAATAAGCAAACAAAGAGTGAAGCGGCAGAAGATGCTCAATCCCTCTGTATTTTTCTACTGCTACAATATTAATAAGAGCTGGGTTTCCTCCGAAAGCTGAAAAATTCTTTTTCGATTAGTATGTTATGATAGCAGGTCTACTTGAAAATAAGAGTCCATCTACTTGAGTAAACAATTTGAAATTTTAGCTAAATCAAACTATCTGCAACTCTGGCTTTAAAAAGCAGGGGGAATGGTCACTTATCCCCCAAAGTACAACGAAATATAAAAACACAAGTATGTATTCTTGATCAAAAATCCATAACAAGAGATGTAGTTGAAAGCCATAACAATTGAAGTAGACCTAAGAATTCAACCTCACCCCATGCTCTTGAACCAGATTAGGAAATTTTCGCATGGCAAGAAGTAGTAGCTGACATCGTTCAAGGACATTTGAAATCCCCTCCGACACTCGCAGCAGCATCAAGCACTGTGTGGACGTTGGAATAGCAGCAAACAGCTCTGGGAAAAGACAAAGTGTTTAATTATTTTTGTTGAAACATAGGAAACTATTTCCTTCTTGTTCTTGCTCCTCTGTCTTTCCGTATAGCCCTCATTACATTGTCATTGTCACAATTGTGGCAACCAGCAATACTGTGGAAATAACATTAAAATAGAACAATATTTGTATTAAGTAACTAAGACGAATATATAAGCCCCTCATCAAATTCTACAACATTCCTGATTTTTTTTTTAAATTTCAAAATATAGCGTTGAATCACAGAGATGAATTATTTATAATACAAATACAATTTTTATACCTGTGAGGAAAGTAATTCTCTGATCTTGAGACTCCCTCTGCAGTGATTCTAGAATATCATGAACCTCTGACCAGAGTCTAGGCTCTGTTGGAAAATTCTGCAACCTGAGAAGATAACACAAGAAAGTTAACAAAACTAGGAACCTACACATTTATTAGATGATTTATTGGAGCAACAAAGTATACACAAGATTATAAAATGATTTCAATTTTCTGAAAAGTTCAAATCAGTAAGTGAAGCTCTCAATCAATTTGAACACTCTAAAATTATACAGGATTTTCAAATCCTCCACATTTTAAAATGAAAACTGAATCATGTAAAGACCGAAAATTCTAATTCATACACTGTTTGCATTTAGCTTCATTTTCATTGTGAACCCAAATCGTTCAGATACACTGGTTATTTTACATGAGCCATGATGACCGTTTAAGAAAATTTTTCATGAAAACTGGGACAACAATTTTTCTTTCGCCTTAAAAACGTACAGCAACTTACAAGGGAAAAATCTCAGCTCCTCTCCCCACCTCATGATGCTTACCGCTTAACATAAAACATCTGCATGACTTTGAAGGCCTAACCTAAAAATTATATGAATCCCCTTTTAAAGTTTAAAAGAATTTTTTTTATCCTGCAACCCCCACTTACTAAGAAGTAAAAGATTTTGATGGAATAGACACTACCTGTTATCCTTTTCTTTAAAAGTAAGTCTACTCACATGTCTTGTAGATGTCTTGCTGCCTCATCAACATTTTTAGCTGCCTTCTCAACCAAGTAAGATTCAAACTGGAGAGCAAAGGAAATACTATTTAATTACTTAAGTTTTCTCCCCATAAACAAACATTTAGATGTGTTCATCTCAGTAAAGAAATAAAATTAATAAATAGTAATCATAAAATGTAAAAATCATCCAGTAACTTTGAAAGTAGGCCTACTCATATTTCCTGTTTCAAATTCAAAGAAGGTTTTGATCTCAAACTCAATAACCCATCTTTTACTATGTTGCAGACATTATTGATCAAGCCTTTGATATTTATACAGTCAAACCTGTGTAAGACGGAATCCAAAGGGAGCCGGAAAAAAATTTCGTCTTAGAAATTTATTGTCTTAGACAGGGGAATTTAGTGGGGAGATAGGGGGTTCAAAGGCCCAGCCGCTGAGATCAAGGGTCGCTTGTCCGGTCTGCAAGCAGTCACAAGTCTACTAAAAGTTATAACTAAAAGTGTGAGACTTGAGATGGGAGGGAAAATAAAACGGCAGTCTACGTACACGGTAATCGGGCACGTAGTCTCAGTCAGGGTTGGGTAGATTTAAATCAAGTTGATTTTTTAAATTTAAATCAACTTGATTTTTTAAATAAAAATCAGTGATTTAAATCACTTTTTTTAAAATTTATTTTTATTCAGTTTTTACACATTTCAACATTCAGAATTCCTTTCCTTGGTTTCATAAAACAGATATATAAGGTTTAGTAAGACTAATATTATATTCATGCTTAAAAGTCTGTTTTCCCCCCTTTCACTGTAAAATAATACAGTATTCAATTTACTTTTTTTTTCTATAATTGAAATCAGAGCTGGGTTGATTTAAATCAGTTGATTTTTTTTATTTCAATCAACTTGTTCATTTTTAAAATAAAAATCAGTGATTTAAATCCCTTTTCAAAAAAATGTATTCAGTTTTTACATATTTAAACATTCAGAATTCCTTTCCTTGGTTTTATTAAACAATATAAGGTTTAGTAGACAAATATAATCATGCTTAAAAGTCTGCTTGCCCCCCTGTCACTGTAAAATAATACAGTATTCAATTTACTTTTTTTTCATAATTGAAAACCAGGGTTGGGTTGATTTAAATCAGTTGATCTTTTTAATTTAAATCAACTTGATTTTAAAAATAAAACTCAGTGATTTAAATCACTCTAAAAAAATGTATTCTGTTTTTACATCTTTAAGCATTCAGAATTCCTTTCCTTGGTTTTATAAAACAGTGTCACTGTAAAATAATACAGTACTCAATTTACTTTTTTTCATAATTGAAAACCAGGGTTGGGTCGATTAAAATCAGTTGATTTTTTTATATTTAAATCAACTTGATTTTAAAAATAAAACTCAGTGATTTAAATCACTTTAAAAAAATGTATTCTGTTTTTCCATCTTTAAACATTCAGAATTCCTTTCCTTGGTTTTATAAAACAGATATAAGGTTTAGTAGACTAAAATAATCATGCTTAAAAGTCTGCTTTCCCCCCTGTCACTGTAAGTAGTAAAATAATACTGTATTCAATTTACTTTTTTCATAATTGAAATTAGCATTTTCTTTTTCTTTTTAGACAAACACAAGCGCGCGCGCACACACACACACACACTGTAATAAAATGTAAGTTTATCTATGCATAATTAACCCCCCCCCCCTTCCTTTTAGACTGACATTTTCTTCATTTTTTGTCTGTAGCCATAGTTCACCGATATAGCAGATTAAGGCTTTCTAAAATTGCAGTTGCTTAATTTAATCATTATTTAAAACAAAGACAATGCATTTTGCACTAAAAGAACTACGTACACTGTAACTGGGATCGGGAGCTTAGTTTCAGGCTAGGTGCACGATAAATGCTTCGCTCCCTTCATGACCTTGACTTCTTTCATTTTCCCCCCGCTTTTCTGTTGTATTTTTATTAAATATATACACATCCAGGTTCACGTAAAACTTTGAACCCAAATAATGGAACACACCCGTCTTGTTTCCTCATAGACAACTGTGAATCCAAATAATGCAACACACTCAAGTCAACCCCCACAAAAAACGCGCCAAAGATGTTAATTTCTTTTCTTTCTTATTGCTTTATCCTCGATTAGAGAATGTATCACAGCACGCACTTTAACTTTACGAGGCTTTAACTTTAAGCCCGACCCAGAGTAAAAAAAATACCCCCACCCCTCCCTTCGGTCATCCCACACTGGTTAAGTCCCGAAAAACACCTCGACCAACGCAACCAGTGTAAATGAACTTTGTTGACCTCGACAACCGACCGTCTCCGACACATGTGCTACTCACACGTAGGAGGAGGTCATATCACGTGATGTGAACACCAGCGTTTGAAAGTTTCACTGACAGGTCTTGATGATGGACCCTAGTAACCAGAACTCAGGCAAAGCTTTCTTTTAAAGTAAAGTAAAGCAACGGAAGAACAACGAATCTAAGATTATTTTTATGTCATAATTGTTATGTACAGTAATCAGGCCACCATTGGACAATTCGGGGTTACAAACGCGAAAGAAGTCAAGGTCATGAAGGGAGCGAAGCATTTATCATGCACATAGAATCTAGATCTAGATCTAGAATCTAGATCTAGATCTAATCTAGATCTAGATAGATTCTCTAGCTCAAAAGGGGTTCCCGAAACTTACTCTAAGCACCCGGTTACCGTGTACACTGTAGTGTAGGCTACATAGTTTGTAGATCTTGTTGAGACACAATATAGACATTCAGTAACTACTGATTTATTACCTGAATCACAAAAGACTGGGGAAATAACGATTTGGCGGTGATAAGCCATGCCTTTGCCGAATATGGGTCCGTCTTGGGGAAACTTCGTGCCCTCATCACAAGCCAGTCAACATCTGACAACTCGGTTTCATTCACGGCAGATGCCATGATGACTGACAAAGGAAATAATGGTCCCCTCCTATTTAGATTCTAGATCTAGATCTAGATCTACTAGAAAACAACACTGGCAGAAACGATGCAATTACAGACCGTCTGATCAAAACTACATAGATCTAATTATTGTAGGAATTGTGGCACCGTAACACTCTTGGCCTTCAGTTGAGATTCTTCTGCGCTGTGTTCGTTCCTAGCATGATCACACAAAACGAAACCAACCAGATTTTGATCCAGAATTTGTGAGTTTTCTTCCGGTTTCGTGCCCCTGGTTCGTAGTCAGATGATCTCGCTTCATTAATACAGCTCAATAATGTTATTATTTTTTAAACAAAGAGTGGCAAATTTATTAAGTTGTTATGCTAAAAATCAGACAAAACCAAAAAAAAAAAAAGCAGGCAAAGCAGCACAAGCTACAGAACGATACAAAGACTAAAGTGCCCACTTTCTTTTTCCTCCATGATTAATTTATTTATGATTGAAATCACCCACTTTAATTACAAAATGACGGAGAGATACCCTTGCTTGATATAATATTGGAAATTCATGTTCTTGGAAAGCGACAGGTAAAATGTAAAATATTTTTTAAATAGTTGATTTTATTAGCCTCTTTTTACATATCAATCTGATTTAAGGGCCTACTAGATAAATGTTACATAAACTAACTATCATTTCTTTGTTTTCTTTTCGTATTCTCAAATTTCAATAGTAGGCATCATTACGGGACAATGTGTTGTTTTCACCCCCCCCCCCCCCCCCCCCACCCAACTCTCTGTGTGTCTCTCTCTCTCTCTCTCTCTCTCTCTCTTTGTAAAAAGCCCCCCCCCCCTTTCCAAACCGAATTGCGTAAACTGTTAATAGTATGTCGTTCCTGCTGTACTTTACCTAATCTTGACCTTATCACTGGTTATATTTAGGTAAATTTATCTGTTCTCTCATTGTACACCTGCCCACTCCATATACCCTAGGCCTACGTCACAAAAAATTGAATGATAATACGCTATCATATTTATTAAATCTGTTAAGACTGTACATTCCAACACGCAGTTTAAGGTCATCAGCTGAGAAAAATAAATCTATTTTATCATCTATGAAACTTTAAACAAAGGGTGAAAGCGCATTTGAATACCGAGGCCCCAAGATCGTGTGAATGCTTTACCAAGTGTCGTACTTAAAGAGAGGTCATTTTTTTTTTATTCATTCAAATGTCAGCTGAAGTCGTTTCTGTTTTTAAATTAATAAGATGAATATTTGGAGTGACTTTCTTTTAGTCAGAACGCAACGTTTAATGTTACTGTTGTACGTTGTACGTTGTACGTTGTATTGTAAAGCGCTCAGAGCCTGTGTACTGTAATCGGTGTTGAGCGCTCTATAAATGTCATTTATTATAATTTACTATTATCATATACCCCTGAATCTATTTCTAGAAACTCTAGATGATTGGTTGAAAGTATAGGCTATGGGGAGGCATCTGTTTTTTCTTAGAAAAGGGATGAAAAGTTATGGATTCCACAATGTCTTTTTTGTATATAAGCAGATATCTATGCAATCAAAAGTTGAAAGAGAGCAGCCAAGGAAATACATGTATGCAATTAATCCCCAACCAACAGAAATAAAATTGAATAATGTAATTCCCAATTAACTGATCAGTAGGCCTGTATAGGGCTTATAATTCAGAGAATCTTCACTCTTTTTTTTAACAATGCGTACAAATAAAAGAAGGTGCATTCGTCTTTTCAGAAGTTTTGCTAAGAAAACACAATTTTCTTAAAAAGTAGATGGGAATGATAATATATATTTAACAAAAATAGAAACATTATTCAAACATATTATATGATAAATCCTCGAAGAGCTAGAGTAGGTCTAATATAATATTATAAGAGCAATATAGTATCACTGTTCTAGATGGGGCGATTCAATAATAATCATTATGATATAACAAACCCTTTATTCAAATTCGTTGACCTTCGGGGTGTTTTAGGCAGGTGCATTTTTTTTCTTTCTATCTTCTCTCTATCTTAACTCTCCCGTTCCCTGTTCCCTTCTCTCTCTCTCTCTCTCTCTCTCTCTCTCTCTCTCTCTCTCTCTCTTCACT